ATATTATATATTATAGTATACAGAAACAGGAGGGGAAAGAAAAGACAAAGAACATAATGCTACAATCTCAAAACTAGTAGGAGAGACTCAGCTGTCAAAGGCGGCAACTGGTGCTGCTGGCAATTAATTTTTAAAAGTCAACCAGATTCTCCATTCAGGTAGACTCTTTACATGTCCCAGGCTTCTACAGCAACATCTCAGCTCACCTCATAGCCCGGCTGAGTTTCTCGTAAGTCATGCTGCTGTTGTTTTTCTTCTTTCCCCAGAGCTGAGCCACAGCTTCGGATTTTAAAAATCTGAAGACACCTTCTGACCGGTCTTCCCACTTGATCAGCCCCGGATTTTTCTCAGGATTAAGAAGAATATCTCGAATAAATTCCCAAAGATGAGTTCCTCGAGGGTCTGAAAGAGGAAAGGGGGCAGGGGGAAGGAGTGTCTGAAGAGCTCTCTGGGCTATGCTTGCCATTTTTATGTCATGTTCTTACAGTGTGTCATCTACAGATGGTGACTACTTGGTAGGGACAGGCCATAGTTCCTGGAGCGCAGGACCCCCACCTCGGATCTATGTAGGCAAAAAAATGCTGACAGCCTTTACACTGAGGCTGGAGGCAAGTGTCAGCCTTCAACAGTGTGAGCCCCATAGCAGGCAGGTAGGAGCCTTAGCAACCCCAGGAAAAGCAGAGTCCAAACACCCACTGCTTCCTTCTGCCTTTGGCACTGTTTCTGCCCCGAAGATAACATGTTTAAGTCTTCCCTTCACCTCAGTTGCCCATTTTTCCTGACATTCTTCTACATCATGGCATGTAACCTGATATTATCGCGCAGTACGTGAAACAGACAAGATAATTGTGAAGCAGGCACTGAATCTCCACACATTTAAAAGACAGACAGAAGGCAAAGGGTGCCATTCTGCATCAATGAATATTTGGTCCCAGGTCTCTTAGGTAGAGTTAAAGAAATAAGAAGGTGTAGAGTGAATAGAGGGATAGTGACAAAACTGGCTAGCCAAAATTTTGTGTAAAAAGGGTATAAAAAAGTCTGACCACGATATCAGAAAGGGCAAAACCAGATCTCTAAGTTCAATAGGTAGACCTCCCAGTTTAAGCACAAATCCATCCCACATTTACTGTAGAGATGGCACCAGAAAGCCTAGGTCAAAAAGAAAAAAGATTAAATAAATCCAACAAGTCAGACGTAGTAGTTTATGAATGAGGAATAACAAACACAGTGACAAGGTGGGCCAGAAAGATAGCAGTCCTTTGGTCTGACTTCAAAAGCATGCAAGGGCTTAGACCAAATTAAGAAGGAAACTAGCTAGTCAAAGATGTGAAGCTAAATTGAAAATGGTATACAGTGCAACATGAGTAGATTTCAGTCAACTAATCCAATATTTTTCTTTGTTGTAGTAATTGTTTTCTAGAACCAACACAATGTGGTGAACCTAGTCTATCTGGACATCAGTAACATACTCAACAGACCATGATACAGAGCAGTACTGAAGAAACTGGAAATGTAGGGGATTAGCCCAGCTTGGCAAGGTGACCTTTTCTATATACCAAGGTTGTGATTTGAATCTGTTCTTAGAATCATAGAATATCTCAAGTTGGAAGGGACCCATAAGGATCATCAAGTACAACTCCGTACTCCTCACAGGATCACTTAAAACTAAACCATATGACTAAGAGCTTCATCCAGATGCTCCTTGAACTCTGACAGGCTTGGTGCTCTGACTACTTCCCCAGGGAGTCTATTCCAATGACTGACCAGCCTTTCAGTGAAGAACCTTTTCCTAATGTCCAATCTGAACTTCCCCTGATGTAGCTTCATTTCATTTCCTTGGGTCCTAGCACTGGTCACCAGAGAGAGAAGATCAGTACCTCCCCCTCTGCTGCCCTCCTTGAGGATGTTGTAGACTGTGATGAGGTCACCCCTCAGCCTTCTTTGAGCTGAACAAACCAAGTGACCTCAGTTCTTCACAGGTCTGTCTTCAGACCAGTCCTGTCTAATCCTTTCATTAGCAACCTTGATATACACACAAAAAAAGAAACAAAACATCTATCTGCAGATAAAAAGTTCAGGAGTTCTGGTTGGGCATAGTCACAGAGCAGGGTAAGAAGAGGAGTCAGGAAGAGACAGGTGATCTGGAGACTGTATTGAAACAGGATAAAATCAAATACTACAAAATGCAGTGAACAACCAATATTAAGGTTTTCTATTATAAATAGGGAATGGCACAGGATGCAAAAGACATACACAAGATATTTTCAGCATAAAAACCTCAGTAAATTATATTAATGGAACTACATCCAGAAATCACAATTATGGTAACCTGTCTTCAGAGTCAAGTGGAATCAAAACTAGCAGAAAAAGGAGATGAGGGGAGTGGGAAGATTGTCATATCAGAGGAGAAGAAGGTGGCATAACTGAGGAGCAGGTGCTTGCTCATGATGCCATGCATGAGAAGTTGTGCAAGGAGATGCTGAGCAGGGTTTCTGGTGCATGCTGCACTCAGCAGGCACGGGCATGAGCATGGCCATGCCCATGGACAGACCTTCCTGATTTAATCCTGGGTCTCCATCATTCCTTTATTCCAGTCCACCAGACCAGCTCAACACAGGGCAGAGGCAACTGGTTTCTGGTTGCTTCCCCATAAGCCCTCACTGATAAAAACAATTTGAAAAGTATAACAATACTGAGCCAAAAATATTGTAAGCAAACAGTACTAGAAACAGTCAGATCCTTGGAGGATTCAATCACAGTAACGATCTAACCAGCTTTGCTTTCAAAATTCTTCCTTTTCCCTACTGAAGGGGATTGACTTTTAATGTGTTTCTTTTCCTTCAATCAACCAACCATTATAAACATGGATGTCAACTTACTGTGTTTCTTGGTGTGGGACTTTGGGGTATGATCTTGCGATTTTTTCACATCTGAAAAATCTGCAGAGAAGGAAAATGAAGCCTATTTGTAAATTTGATTAAAGGGTTTCCATTGACTACCAGGTTGAAAGAAATAAAGCCACAAAAAAGAATTAATATTTCTTTTAAAGATAATAACTTTTCAGAAGGTAATCTAAGTAAGGAGGAAGGGGGAGAGTTTTGTTTTCTGTACTATATGTTAATCAGCACACTTCACAAAGAGACCATTGACAAATAAAGAATGAATGCAGAGGTAAACATTTGGCTTTTGAAACCTAAATTTGATTAACAAATACCTCACCTCATGTTATGTGTGTGAGAGAGAAAAATAAGATGATCACATCTATAAAAGGAATCCTGAATTGTCCCATTATGTCTTAGTCTTTGCAGAAGCATGTGTCTTTGGGGGCCTGTTTGTTTCTGAAGAGATGATCTAATGTGAAATGTATGCGCTGATACCAATGCACAGAACACCTACCTGACTAAAACATAATGAACTGGCAAATGGTTCTTGTTTGGGGGAGGCAGGGTGGGGGAATGGGGCTGTGCTGGTAGGAGTTTTTGGCAGCTGGACATGCATATGTTGTTCCATGGCTCAGAGCCATAGAAACAAGCCATTTCTCATCGATGGTACTTTATCACCTGCAGCCAGCCAGAGGAGGAATAGGGTTTCTGGCACAAGCATTTCTTCAGAAATGAAGAAAAAGAAAAGTTCCTCCTGTTCATGACTGTAACCTACGTAGCAGTCTGCACGTTCAACCCTCCCACCCTCAAACCACAGCAGCCTGGCTCTGTTCTTGTCATTAATGAATAGCTTTCATCCGATCACTCTAAGTCTCGCAAAATCTGTGGGATAGTCCTGAAAGGGAGCCCCTTCTATGTTTGCTTTTCAGCATACTTTGTGCCTGAATTCCATAAAGCAAAGCTTAAGGTCCCACGCACTTTTTCCCAGCTTCTATGAATGCACGATTATCATACTTCTCATGGAAACCAGGCATTTGCATGGGAAAATGACTCACAGGAAATATTCATTTGCATAGAAACTTGTCAGATTTGCACAAGCAACTGCAATAACTGCATGTGAAAAGGTAGATGCAAAGCTATTCACACACTTGCTTTATTCATACGTAACTGGAAACATAAACTGAACAGGTCAGTGAGGATAAGCCTAACCTCCACCATTCTGAGCCTGACATAATTATTGTCCTTGACCCCCAAGCAGCAAATGCGCTTAAAGTAATTTTGCCTTCCCACTCTCAAAGAGCAGGAACTAGCCTGAACCTCACTCAGCTTGAGGGAAAAAGTAAAATGAAGCTTATTTCACTGCCTTTCCTCAGATTATGATTCCCCTGATGTTATTAAAAGTCTGTGGGAACTCCAGGCAAGAACAGCAGGACTCAGTCCTTTATTTGCCCTCATATAAATCCTTCTCATTTTAAAATCCCACAATTTGCTTGCAAATGTTTGTTATGCTCCACTTAGCTGGAGATTTATTCTTGGAAGTTCAGTTGCCTTCTACCTAGCTGGTGATTTATTCTGGATTTCAGCTGTGTAAATAGCCTCCCACTCTGCCTCCACTCCTACGTGGAGACCAGTTTCAAACACGCCATGTTAGGAGGCTGGGGCCTGACAGATGAAAAGAGTTATGATACAGTTTCAACAAAGCTCTCTTGCAAAACTTCTGACAAAAGGTTGCACAGTATTTGCATATGATTCAGGAATGAGCCACTTTTTTACGGGATATACAAATCTAGTTTTTACAGGAGGCTGTGCCCTTGGCGTGCCACCCTAGCTCTAGGCTTAAGGAGTCAGCAGGTAAACACACTGTGCCAGGATCTTGACAAGTCCCCAGTCCCGTCAGAGAGCTCTGGAATCCTGGTAATCATCTTATGACAGTGGGTGGAGGCGGCGGAGAAAGCAAACAGTGTTTGGTTGGGTTTTTTTAAGGTTTGGGTGGTTTTCTTCTTCTGGTCAGGTTTTCTCTTTTTTTTTTATATTTATTGCTGAGTGCATTAGTTTAAACTGTATGCCACTTGGCAACTCCAGCTGTGCTGGGAGGCTGGGGGATGCAGCAAATGGCCAGGCACAGAGGCTGTGGCTGTCACCCGTGTGCAGAGGCACAGGGTTGCCCCCAGTGCCAAGATAACACCTGCAAGGCTGCATCTACAGCAGTGTGTTTTCCTTTCTCATCCTCCCAGGACTTCCACTGTTTACTCCCTCAGGTCTGTTTGTTTAACAGCCTCCTAAGAAGGACCTGCCTTTCTTTCCCCCCTTTCTCACTCCCCTGCCATCTCTGCTCTCCTCTTTTCCCACTGCCTCGCTCTTTCACCTCCACCCCTGGTGCCTGCCCCCAGGACATGGCCCACAGAGCACCCCAACACATGTGTCTGGACTGTACTTTCACCAGGCACTGCACCAATAGGGTTTGCTCTTTCTCCTGCCCTTTAGCAAGCAGATTGTGAAGGGCAATGAAGCTGGTGAAGGGTCTGGAGCACAGGCCTTATAAGGAGCGACTGAGGGAACTGGGGTTGTTTAGTCTGGAGAAGAGGAGGCTGAGGGGAGACCTTATTGCTCTCTACAACTACCTGAAAGGAAGTTGTAGTGAAGTGGGTGTTGGTCTCTTCTCCCAAGTAGTTAGCGATAGGACAAGAGGAAATGGGCTCAACCTGCGCCAGGGGAGGTTTAGATTGGATATTAGGAAAAATTTCTTCACGGAAAGGGTAGTCAAGCATTGGAACAGGCTGCCCAGAGAGGTGGTGGAGTCACCATCCTTGGAAGCATTCAAAAAATGGGTAGACATGGCACTCTGGGACATGGTTTAGTCTAGTCTACCCTTGATTGGTTTAGTGTGGACTTGGTAGTGTAGTTTAATGGTTGGACTGGATGATCTTAAAGGTCTTTTCCAACCTAAATGATTCTATGATTCTATGATTCTAAGTACTGAGGAGGGGTGAAGAGGCGTGCAGTGCCTGCCCTGCTGTCAGCTGAGATGGGTTCCAGTAGGAAGCCCTTCTGCTGGCGCAGCTGGGCAGAGGGCTTGGTGCCTGCACTATGGCTCCTCCGGGCTGACCCCAAACCCAGCCCCAAACCTAGCAACCTACTCAGCATGAACCACTGCCTCACTAGGGAAACACAGCCACTTCTGGGGAGGACCATGGCACTCGTTTACCCATACCCAGCCATACCACAGAAAAGTGTAGTGGAGCTGGAACGTCTTGTCTCTCTGACACTAATATATTCCCCTTTGACTCAGTCACTTTAAAAGATATGCAGAGATTGCAGATTACTTGGTCGACTTTGTCTCAACAGAGAGGAGAGAGAAACATTTCATTAAAGCAAGCTATTGTAATAAGGGTAGGTAAAAGAGCTGTCAGAATCAGTATTGCTTAGTTTAAAATTACTGGAGGCTCAGATTCAATCCTACAACAGAAGACTACAGAGACTATTATATGTCAGTAGGTCTGGGACAAGAGACAAACAATTAATAATATAATTACAAGTTCTTTACCAGGAGGCTGGTGACTAGGTGTCGTCATGGAAATCTGAGCACGACAGAACGTTTTACTGTCCAATAGCTCTGGGAATTAAAAAGAAGACATTTAAAGTAATAGCCTCAGACAACAATAAAACCATCTCAGAAATGCATGAAGTATTGTGATGTTAGTTACCTACTGTGCTACCATAGCCACTCTCATACAGGTAATTCTCTTCTTTCCAGGACACCATTAATGGTGGATCTGAAGGTAAAGGACCAAAAGGAAAATCAGATAACTAAAAGAACATTTTTTAGCATGGAGGTGAATACGGAGCACTGAGGGAATAAGAAATGTGCAAAAAAAGAGCTGCAAAGGGAACCAAGAAATTAAGGGGCTATGCATGAAATTATTTCCTTTCACTCAAATTATGGATGGGGTTTTGCATACTCAGTCAAATGTACTTACACAAAGCACTGACTTTTAGAAATAATGTAGTAGGCTCTCCTTTTCCTGGCTATCATTTATGCCTGTCCTTGAAGGACGTTTCCTGTGCCAGATCAACTCTAATTCTACCCAATCCAGTCCTGAATTCTCAGCCCCTGGTGATTATGACAGTGTTTTGGTGCCATAGAGATGAAAGTGTTCTCAAGTATCTAGTAAAACAGGAGGATGCTTATAATGAGTATTTATTTCTATAATGGTAGAACTAGAAAGTCCCCTCTGAAACACAGCTTCATGTGTAAGCACATAGTGAAAAACATCAAAGCCTAATCCTAGATGAAGGGCCATTTTATTCCAGGCACATCAAGTTCCCATCCTTAACCTTAAATCCACCTTCATGATTGGAATAATTTTTCCAGTTATTCCAGAGGAATAAATTTTAGTGACCTTCTGGTCAGATGGATCAATATAAGCAGAACAGAAGTATTGTCTTTATGACCTCTACATTGATCAGGAAATTACTCTCTTTGCAGTGCATTCTGAGGTCAGAAGCCTTAAAAATCTCTTTTTCTTTTGAATCCAGGCCAGAAAAGATGAGATTCAAGGTTCAAATCTAGGTTTTACTTACTTTTTTTCATGTTCATATAAATGAAATCCCAAACCAAAAATGAGTTACAGCTAAATCATCACGTTTGGCTGAGTTACCACTTATGACATAGGAATTTAGCAGGCATGCTAAGTAATAGCTGCATGTTTGGGCACTGAGAGCTTGTGTTCCTACAGTAGCACACACCCTTTGCTTGCTTGGACACCTGATCTGCCTAATGTTGCCTCTGAAAACAGGCCTTTCCTAGCCAGAACACGGGGACACATCTTGTCTTCCTGTTTTGGCCTTTTTCAGTACCCATGTCTTTGCAACTGTGATGGTCTACTAGGACAAGGCAGGCTTCCCCTCTAAACCACCAGACCCATCCCTGCTGGCTCACAAGGAGTCCCTTCCCCAGCAGACCCAATTCGCACCGCCTGCTCTTCCCCATGCAGAAACTGACCCTGCTCCCACTGCCCATGGTCAGCATCTCCAGAGCCCCACCACACCACTCCTGATTCAGCACAGCTAGGAGAACCATCAGTTAGTCCTAGGCTTTGGCCTTTCCAGATGTGCAGCTGAGATACTTTGCACTGCACTGTGTATCTCTAGTGGGAGGAGGAACTAATATTATACCAAGATCTCATAAATCAGGACTTAAAAGGATTACTGTAGTTTCCTATATGGCAAGCATTGAGGCTGCTGTATGCACATCACCCACACTATGTGGACACAGGCAAGGAGTGGATTGCAGATTGTAATGCTTGCCTGCTGCAAGCAGAAGGTGGTTAGCGTCCCTGGCTGGAGTGTCTGGGCTCCTCCAGGTTAGCTGAATAAAGAGGTTGGTAGTATTTGTCAGAGACATCACATGCCACGAATCTGTATTCGTTCTGCCGGGAGATATTAAAATGTGGCTCATGAACACACCCACATACAAAGAGGCTGGGACTAGTGGGATAGAGAGTGTTTGGGTATAGACAGAGATGCTCTGGCAAAGGCACCAGGAAAATAATCGTGCCTGAGAGGAGGATTGAAATGAGCTGAAGTTCTCTCAGTGAAACAAAGTCCTGGGAGGAAAGGGATCTAGCTATGAACACACTGGAAAAAAAGACTGCCACAGGAAAAAATGCAGTTTTGGTCAAACCAAAATACTATCTGAATTTCAGTTCCATTGAAAGATGTGAAGAAATTGAAATGTAACATTTTTTTCTCTCAAAGTTGTTTTGTTTGGAAATTTCCTCATGTTTCAAACATTAACAGCACTTCACAATAAAATATTTTTTCTTTTTTTTAAACTGAGAATACTGTGAAAATAGTTGTTTTGAAATGTGCTGAATGAAGCACAGAATGAAATCCCCTACAAAGCTGCCCTCACTGAGCACTGCAAACTATTCCAAGTCTGAACATCCGTATAGAATGCTGATACTGCAGACCTCTCCCAGGAAAAGTCACCACACGCAAACTAAGATATAGCAGTACTACCCAAAACTTCAAAAAGTAGACATTGACTGATATTTGTGTTACTTCTTTTATTCTGCACGATACACTTTCCATTTTATTTAATGCCGTTTTGAGATCCCTCTCTTGGAATGGACAGTTTCCTCTTTTTGTCACCATCAAAAGACAAGTTACCCAACTCACCTGTTTGCTCTGTCTTCACAATAACATTATGAGATTGGTACATGTCACTTCCACACTGGCCTGCAAGAAAGCATATGGCAGATAGGACGTATGACAACAAGCTCAGAAGAATTAAAAAGTATTAGCGCCAAGCAGCAACTGCTACAGCATACCCTTTTCCCGGGTCCTTCAGACTCCTGCCTTATGTCATATCTAAGCAATTTAGCAATACAGTAAATGAGGTATAAGCAGTTAAGCAAACATAGCAAATGAGACCTGCCTGGTAGGTCTCTCAGGAACATAAGCGACTTCTGAAGATCCCAGAACTCAGACCACTGTACGTGTGTCTCTGCCTAATGTCTATTTACCATTCCATTTTAGGTGCTGAAGGTTGCTATAAAGCAGTTGCCCTGCTGTCCCAGCTGCCTGAGTGAATTCCTGCAGGCTCATACTGCACAGATGTTCCCCATTGATATCAAATTCCTGGAAGGGTATGCAGTTGGCATCCAGTTGGTTGGTATCAAGGAGATGCTGCAGCCACTCCCAGACTTGAAACTTAGTCCAGTACTGTGGGTGTATTTCATGCCACTGGGTTCCAAAGAAGCTGCTGGACACTGGAAAAGAAAATAGGTATTTACTGTCTCTGTTAGCACCACAGGATTATGTCGACAACGAGAAAGGTCTATAACTAAATTGCATGCCCTGGAGGTCCACAGATCTAGATTCTTTTCTCAGTCCTTAACACTATCTCAGAAGCTATTGCTGGAGAAGGTATTGTTATTTTTTTTTGCCTCAGTTTTCCAATTAAAAACTGGGAATCATTACATTACACTTCTCTTGGCAGACTGAGTATATAGGAATTAATTTATTAATGTTGGCTAAATACACCAAAATTATTTGATGGAAGACACCTTAAAGTACTGTTAAAAAGGTATGTTGATCCTTTTGTGGGAAAATAATTTCAGTGCATCAGAAAATTATGGAAAAGCCTTGCAAAAGTCTCATAACGTGCTGTGGAAATTTTCCACTTTAAAGACTTAATAAGGACTGAATATGAATTGCGGGATTCAATCAAAGAACAGTAAAAGCCTATCAGTATGGCCCACAGCTTCATGATAGAGCTTGCATTCTGATGAATGCACATTATTTCTGTAGTCAGGTAAGATGATTTCTGAACACAATTGTAAAACTAATTTTTAGTTACAGAAGCTGCTTAATTTTCCTGTTAGGATGCCTGAATCTTTTCTTGGCAATCTTTTAAACTGCTCTCAGTTGTATGTCATTACACAACAATAATTTACGTGTGCAAATGAAAGAAATTGTATGTGGCGATAGGATAATTGTATAAGATAAGAGCAAAGGCAGGACTGCTTTGGTCTGCCCTCACAGAAGGGCTGGCAAAAGGAGTTCAGTAGAATTTATTCCTTGGGAAAGGAAGACAATGGAGTGTGCCAGGCAGAGACAGGGGCATGATAAAATGCTCACAAGTGCATGAAGGGTAAGGATGAGAGATTGCAGAGGTCATTGAATTATGGGAGAAGAAAGGCTGCCATGGCCTGGCTCTACAGTAAGCCCACTCCAGGATGTAGCACCAGACCATTCTCAGTCTCCCCAAGAAAAAGACTACCCACACAGCTGTGAGAAATACTGACAACAGTGGATATTGCTAGAGGACCACAAGCAACAGAGTTGGCACATTTTAGGAAATCACTTCCCCTCAGGTCCCACTAGACCTCAGGTGTCTTCAGTTGAGATATGCTGCACAATCCTAGTTTCCAGGTAAACACAAGCAAGCCCTACAGTTACTTAGGTTTCTTTATCAATATTGGCCAACAAGGTCTGTGTCAGTAACTTAGGGAGTTTGCATGACGGTCTCTCATCCTCCTGTTGAAGGATTTGGGGAATGAGTGTGGAAATTATTAAGAGTGTGCTATGTCAGAGAACAAAGGTTTGATGGATCCGTCAAGTATTCCCTGAAAAGGAGGTTGATATGTCTTCCCATCACTTCAGAAGGGTAAACGAATTTCAGAGGCCACTAGTATCCTAATGTAAATGGAGAGCCTTTAGGGAAGAGTAGCTAGGTAAAAGGAATTGAAGTGGTGAATGACTGTAGAGGCTGGTCTGAGCTTTTGGCTTCCTGTCCCTCAAAACATAAGTGAATCCCGAGGAGTTTCACACTGGAAACATGAAAATAGACCCCACCATTTCCCTTCATGAAATTCTGTGCAAAGTGAAAGTCAGCCAGCACTTTTTTCCCCATGAATCTGTTACACACAGGTCAGTACATTTATTAAGTGCACGCTTATGTATTCCTTTGTATTTAGAAATTACACATTAAAAAGAATAAGAGTTTCACTGAGTGGGAACTTTCATTGTAAGTTTTGTTGCAGCATTATTTGGATTAGAAGGACAACTGCAGCATGTGTTTGTCTGCTTAGATTTTTAAGGTTTACCCATTGACTGAGTGATGAAAAGAATTTAAAAATTATATCAAATACTATATAGATAGATATGTGTCTATATCTGTATTTTTATACTGAGAGTGTATATATATGAACACATTTTTATCTATACAGCCATATAACCAGAAAACAGTAAGAAAAAAAAGTTCTCAGATCACAAGATATCTAGTGTTCTAATGCCAGTCTAATTAGAAAGCTATCTAGTAATTTGAGCTGAAAAAGCAAATACAGTAAAAGAGCAAAAAGGCTATTCCCCTGGAAAGCCAGAGGGGTGATTAGCATTGAAGAGTAGTGTTGGTTCACAGAAGGCATGAGGGATAAAGGTAAGAGAGAAAGAATGCTGGACTGAGGAGAGGGAACTTTCAGCACTTTCAACACCACTAAATTAATTTTAAGAAAAAGAACCAGTAAGGAAATGAATGATAAACTGGTCACTTTCAGAAACTTAGTGTTGCAAGTTCAGCTTTTTACAAATAAGGTAACAAATGGAAATTTTTCTTACCAGAAGTGAAACTCCAGTAAATTAGTACTACTGAAAAATACTTGTGCATGCTTAGAGGTGTAGTAGCCCCTCTCCCCCTGCCTCCCTGCAGAAAACATAGCTCAGAGTCGTCGAATTCCTCCTACCATTGCATGTGGAATATCCATCTGTCCAGGAAGGCTGCTGGTGGAGTAGATTGCTGCTGGAATTGATACTCATTCTGCCAGCTCCTTCCAAAATCATGATCTGTAAGTGAATCGAACAGCTTTCTTAGTGAGCAGTGTCTAGTCCAAGAGGTAAATGGCAAAAAAAAAAAAAAAAAATCCACTGAAGGTGAAGTGAGGAAGCCAATTCCATTTGTAGATGATACAATTGAAATCAAGAACATGTTGCCACAACCCCTTTTCCACTGCCACAAAAATCTCCTTATGATAAACATTACCATGATTGATTTGCATATGCAAGAAGCAAGTTTCTACAGCTGCCCATCCATAAATGAAAAATCTGTAATCAGAAATGAAGCCGAATGAAAAGACAAGGCTCCTGACAGAGCAATGCAGGAAAACTTCCAAGCTTTAAGAAATTAAATACCAAATAGTTTTACTTTTTTTTTCTAATTTAAAGAGAAATGTGGTTCAAACATGCTTTCTTTTTTTTCTTTTCTTTTTTTTTAGGAGAGAGAAAAGACTTTTCAATAATTGTAAATGAAACTATACAGTTGACAACAACTCATGTTCAGAAACTCCCTCACACAGAAGGACCCACGTGTTTATGCTACAGGGAGGTAACATTACAGGGAATATCTTGTCAGCTGACCCAGTTTCTTATCTGATCTGTGTCTGCAGTGTCCATAACACTTCTCAGTAACAAATATCACAGATTTCAAACCGCTGAAAAAATCAGTCAAAGATCTTGTAAATGCGACAGCCATTGTTGTAACAGAAACAGCATTTTGGAGTGACACCACCCCAAGACAACATTCCCTCTTTTAAGTGACACAAACTTTCCTTTCTGCTTATCTTAGCATTAGCACCACGAGTAAAACTGTCCTTTATTTATACTTTAAAAAAAATACTTACATGATATTTTAGAAAAATGTCACGTATTTATCACATGCTTAATCTTTCTAGTGAAGGTATACAAAATTCCCCATTTACAGGTATTCTTGACATTTTACATTATCTTTCAGTGGTTTGAAATTGCAAAGTTTAAAAATATACATTATAACCATAGACATTCTTTAATTTGGGAAAGTAATTTGTTAAATATGATAAACACTTCAGATTGTTATTCTTATATAAATACACAGAAAAAACCAAACCTTTGTTCAAAAATATTCTAAATTGAAAGCCACAAAGTCTGTAAAAGTGAAACATAAGACATCAGGATGTCATGTGCATGCAGGTAGACTCCACCTTGAAATTAAAAAGAGGATGAAATACAAAATGGACTTGTGAAAGTTAAAGTCACTGGTCTTGGCTGTTTACCCTCTGAGGTCAAGGGGAAAACTTCCACTGAGAGCACAGCCTGACCCCCTGCAAGCTCACACCAGCAACATTTCTGATAGAAGAAAAGGAGTCAATAAAAACAGTCACAGCCTTGGTTTTAAAGAACAGCCTGAAAATTACCTGGGTTATATTTTCTTCTGTCATTTAAAATAAATGATGTAACTTTAAAAAGTTACAATTCTCTCTCTCTTCCCTCCCCCCCTATATATATTTAAAGAGGGAGAAGGAGAGAGAGAGAGGTTACCGAGAATTTATTAAAAAGTCAAAGCCTTGGGAAGTTTATCACAGGGGATGGTGCTTTACAGTATAACCTAGTTCAGGGCTTTTCTTTGTATCTATACAGAATGGCAAAATCAAACTGTGGATGTTTTAACAGTTGCTTTCCACCCTTAATTCTAGCCAATATGTGACTCAGTGACCACCAGCAAGGAGAATTTAATTTCTCATAGCAGGTATGAGGGGGTATAAAATATTAACAATTAAGAGAGATACCTATTGTTCCACTCTGGCCAAATAGAAGATGACTGTCATATTAGTGAGTAAATTTATGCAATTAGAAAAGACATTCTTTTAGTCCCATGTAGCCAAGTAACTTAGTATTGTAAGGGAGAAAGTGTAAGGAAGCATTTTAATTTATTATACTGGTTATAAAGATGTTCAGCACATAACATGAATATAATTTATCTCATACACTTGATGTATAAGAACTTTTAGGCAATAATGCATGTTTGACAGTCAATACATACACTTCTGAGACCGTACAAGTTGATGATATATCGAGTTATTTATTTAACTTAGGTTTTAATCATTTAAGACAATTAGGTATGAATGAATAAAGTATTAATGATAAAGACCTTATTACAGTATCAGATAGAGGTGAGGCAGAATACCAGTTATTCTGGGAAAACTATAAAACTTGAGGATTAGCAAAAAACTCTTAGGAACTTAGTTGGGTAAATTCATTTCTGTTTAAAAAATTACAGTATGCACTTAATATTGAATTTCAACTTATCGATCTGAAGTCACATTTTCAGAAGACATCTCAGAATTTCAGGTACTGTGTTATGTGCTTTTTGCCTTCTGCAACTTCTGCAGTTTCTGGAATTCTACATGATTTTCATGCCTAATACTTATGCAGATAAAAAGGTGTCTGGGAAAATCTGTGCAATATGAACTGAAATGATTTCTGTGTCCAAGCTCCTGTGTAATTTTGCCTTGAAAATTCAGTTCAGGTAAACGCTCATTTTTCTAATAACTAATCAGGTGAATTTCCAAACCAAAAGGTCCTATGACACTTTGATTCAGCAACTGAAGCTATGGATAGTTAAATAAACCAAATTATGTGTGTTACATAGTTATTCCACCCCAGAAGTAACCAAAACCAATGCACATCAGAGATCTGAGAAGCAGCACCCTGACAGCCTTTTCCCTACTTTCGGATTTCAGTTATTTTCCTTTAAAATCTTCTTCCTCGTCACAGTCTAGCAGACACTTGCTCTCCACAGTATGCCTAAACAACTTAATAGTATTTTCAGATAATGTGCATGGAACCTGCTTTATAAATTAATCAATCAGTACATCCCATTTTTGTAAGCTATATAAGCTATCTCAACCAGAATAACTTAATTAATTTCCAAGATCACCTGTGAGAACAATTGTGCATGAGAGGAAGAATTTGCAATATGACATTAATCACAGGAACAGGACTGGATTTAGCTTTAACCCAAACTTTCCCAAAGTTCTGTGTATTATTTAAGGTACTGGTTTTTTGGTGACTTGAAAATTGTCAAGTCATCTCCTTTATCTTAATGCAAGGGTATTCCTTATTTGGAAATCATTCTAGCACTTTGTTCAGGGTGAGCATAAAGTCACACTAACATAACTTCCACAACTTTGCTTGGAATTGTACAGCATCATACTCAAGAATATTTTCCCTATGAAAACGAAACTGATTTTCTCTATTTTGTCCTGTATATGCCTTTCTTTGATACAAGTTCATGGCGGATTTATGCTTATAGCAGTGTCTCATCCCATACTTGGAAAGATTTTGAGTCAGGATATTGGAAGGGGTGTGTTCTTGATTAGTTTAGGGCCAAATCCTCAAATCTCCCTTGTGTGCAGACAAACCTGGTTAAAGGGTGTGAAGCCTCAAGGGAAAGGACACATAATATGTTCAGTTTTCTTTTAATCATATGCCATGTATCAAAGCAAATGGTGGAACTAATGAAGCCTAGTTTCCTATGAATGTGTATCTTGTGGTTGGATTCTCTAGTGTGTAGTAAGATGTGAGCACTGATTGAAGTTTTTCCCACGGTTGGGGCATTCATAGTATCTCATTGTCTCAAAGGAGTGAGCTCAAGCTTCACTCCTTCTTTCGGATGGAGTATTAATAGATTTTCCTCCTGTACTTGGCAGCCAGTTTTCATTAATCCTGTAAGAATTTCATAGCTTTGAAAGTTCTACCTCATATCAAATTTAATTAAAATTAGCGATGGGACTCAAAGATTGTTACAGACCAAGTCCAAAATCCAACACATAGACAGAATAACCACAAAAGCCTCATTTCCTCAGGAAACCACGTTAAAAAAGGATTCTAGCTGAGCTGAGAGTTTGGAAAACAATATAAAGATCTTGGGATCTGTCTCTCTACTAAGACATGGCACATTATAAATGAAAGCACCAATGAAATGTCATATGTATATATATACATATGCATTTATATACATATATATGTACACATATGCCTCTGTGTGTGTGCATTGTAGGTACTTGTACACACATTTCCATTCTTTTCCATTGAAGAGGAGCCATCTCTAGAGTATAATCTTATAACACTACTAGGAACATTGTACAGTTATGAGAGGAAGCAAATAACACTTTGCTCAGTCAGCAAGGTTAAATACAGTTGTGCACTTGTGTTCAGCAACATTCTTTCTAGAGAGAGTTCTATGAGAAGGGATGAATGCATCCAAATAATAATAATAATAATAAAAAAAGATCTTTTGCCTACATTCAACATATCAGCTGGTATTCAAAGACCAACCCCTGAAGGCCTCTCAGTGAAAGGTCTCACTGGAGTTAGGAGCTTTGACTGAGACACAACCCAGCAACCTGGCAGTAACAGGAGGTCATTTGCTCTGTTCTTCTTTTCTTCCCTGACTGCCTGACCACTCTGAGTAAACGGAGGTAATAGCAAAAGCAAGGAGCCATGGCCTGCCCATGGAGCAAATCCAGCATTGCAGAAAAACATATTTACAAGTCCTTGAACCTTGAACACTGTATAGCGCACACTATGCAAATTATTTTATTGCACTACAGGTGTGCTTTGAAAATAAATTACTCTGATCCCCATTTCCACATTCAACCCAATGAGACTTAACGTCCAGATAATGAGTTTCTCCTTTCTTTGAACCAGAATCTTTCAAGAACAGCTCATATTAAACAACAGGAAAATGCTGAACACAGCATGAAAGGCAAATAAGCAGTACAGAGAAAACAAGTGAATCCTAAAGTACGACAACCAGACTGATTGTTCTGACATTGATTTGTATGGTTGCTTATGTTGCAACACTGAACTGAACTAAGGGTCTCATTAATCACAAATATGAGGGGTTGTGGAGCCCATAAGAGAAGGGGGGCTACAGCCTTCTTGTTTGTACAGCTATGTACTCTATGCAAAACACAAAAAAAGATGTCTAAGGCAAAACTGACTGAAACTATTAAATTATGACTCCACCC